AAGCCCTCACCAACTTGAATACCAGCCAACCAAAATGCCATTGGATCAGGGTTGGTTTCATCTTGTCTGCGGACCGACGGTCGAACGACTGTCAAATGTCTCGCATGAAAACTAATGGAATTCGCCCTTTCGTTTCCCAGCATCAGCTTTGCTGCATCGATTTCATCAAAAACATTCACGATCAATTCCTCTGAAAAAGCAGGAAATTTTTTTAAAAATAAATATAGAGTATGAAGCTTTCGGAGAGCGAATATTCGAATTGACGTTGCGCACCTTTGAATTCAGGATTTTCCGCAAATATTCCCTCCTGCGCTTCCGTGTTTATTTTCAACGAAATCAAGTTTTGCAATTCTGGCGAAAGATCTTCTGGGCTGTCCTGCGAAAAAAAATTAAATCTTGATGCAACGAACTGAAACATCTGAATAACGAACACATCGTTGTATCAATTATAGGAGAACTCATCGATGAACATTGCGACTGAACGAAGCGGATACTAAAGAAAAATCGTTTCAAGCAATAATTATGTATAACAACTTATTGACGAGGTCCATTGTCTCTCGTCATAAAATCAATTTTGAACGAGGAATTATTTTTTACTGTTTTTTTAATCAGTCTTCAAAGATTTTTTTGTTTAGTGGTTCGACACGATTCTTTTCAACTTTTTGTGTGTGCAGCCTGGATGAGAGGAATTCACTCGAATATTTGTTACGCAGTATCATTCATATTTTGTTCCCTGAAAATTTCCGGATGCGGATTTTTATTATTCCAGATTACCAATTTCCAAAAATATCGAAAAGAATCACCTTTGAGTAGAATTCGCACGTTTTCATAATCGACGTGTGATCAAGTTTTTTGCTCGGAGTCTTGAGACCATTCCCTTTGACCTTATTCGTGGAAATCATCAATCTCTCGTGAGAATGTTAGAAATAAAAATTATCATTAGTGGGAAAATGTTAGAAAGCAGGTGCCTATATAACATCATGGCGAATGATGTAAAGGAATTGCGAATTTTTTAGCAGGAATTAATGTGTATAAAATTCGTCGAGGAATGCTCAAGTCGAAGGAAATGCAGCACAGGTATGAAAATGTAAAAAATATTGCATATTTATTACGAGAAATGAAAAAGACACATTCTGGAAATAAACCAGAGACTTATACCCTTATGCAGTCTATATAAATACAGTCTTTTTATTACATATTTTTATAATGGAACGTTACAAAAAACATTGTGGCTATTATTCAGGCACTTCAACTTGTTTTTTAAATAAAAAAATTATAACGAATATATATTTTTCAGCAGGAATTATTATGCATAAAATTCGTCGAGGAATCTTCAAGTCGTTAGAAATCGTGTCGACACAACTCACCGCTCTTGAACTTGCCTCACTTGGAACTCGCCGCACCCCTTATGACTTGCCGCTGTCATAGCTTGCCGCAGAAATAACTTGCCGCTGTCATTTCTTGCCGCACAGGCAACCTGCCGCTGCTACAACTTGCCGGAATAACTGAGGCAAGTAAAGTTGCTGCACATGGCTTGCCGCACAGACAACTCACACTGCAATAACTTGCCATGCACACATGAATAATGCCCATTTTGCATGATTAAATGTAATATTGTAATGGATTTATTCCTGCTTGCACACACATGATTTGAAAATTAAATTTGGAAATTATGCTGCTGCATTAAATTCAATTGCGGCAACTTGTATCAGCGGCAAGTTATTTCTGCGGTGAGTTGGGCTTGCGGCAGGTTGTCACAGCGGCAAGTGATGACAGCGGCGAGTGATGACAGCGGCAACTCTTGGTGCGGCAAGCACAGCTGCGGCAAGTGAAGGTGCGGTGAGTTGTGCCGGAGCCGTTAGAAATACAGCACAGGTATGAACACGTAAAAAATATTGCATTTAATTTGAGAAATTAAAAAGATACATTCATATACAGTACCTGGAAATAAATCACAGAGACTTATACCCTTATGCAGTCTATATAAATACAGTATTTTTATTAAATATTTTTATAATGGAACGTTGAAAAAACTTTGTGGCTATTATTCAGGGACTTCAACTTGTTTTTTAAATAAAATAAAATTATAGCGAATTGAAATCTTGATTAGTTTCTACTTTATATTCACCAGAAGGATGATCTTTCCTCTCAAATTATTCGGGGTGAATTCTGATATCCTCTCTTGGGTCCAGGGACCTTTTGGCCTCCAAATCTTGGAGCCCAAGAGTTTTTCAAGTGCCTCAGCCACAAGAACCTGTTGAGCATGGCTGCAATGCATTTCCAACATGAGCCAAAAGGGTAAATCTGATGCTTGGAAGGCATGTGTTCTGATGACCCCATTGATCAAGTCGTAGAAACGGATCCCACTCTTCATTCGGACATCATGGAACACTCTGGGCTTACCATTGCCCCCATCCCAGACATCCACTGTTTAAAAGCGAAATTGATTGTAGAGAAAATGACCCCATTGATCAAGTCGTAGAAACGGATCCCACTCTTCATTCGGACATCATGGAACACTCTGGGCTTACCATTGCCCCCATCCCAGACATCCACTGTTTCAAAGCGAAATCGATTATAGAGAAAACATTTACGCCAAAACTGCATTTTTATTTTATGCATTCAATTGCGTATAGCGTATATAGGAATGTAATTATGGAAATTAATTTTAATGATTAAAACTCACGAACGAGGAACTTTGAACCGCGCATGAGTTCGAAAACGTAGACTTCTTGGGTGTTTTGTCTTTCGTCCACCAGGTGGTAGATGGGCTGCCTAATTACAATAAAAAAGGAAATTGTTCAATTATTTGGACTTGATTCAAAATTAATGAAATAAAATTGTAACCTGTTCAAAGCTCCTTGGATATTGTAATGGAACATGGGCTGATCGTAGCCCATTTCTTCCTCTTCCTCCTCTTCTCTGCCTCCTGGAATTACTGAAAATTCGTCCGAGGAGAACCATAGTCGAAATCCTGTTAAAATTAGGAAGTTTGTGCATTAGTGTCGCGAAAATTCAAAGTTCTCAGAATTTTTTCAGGACTGTTCTATAACATTTTCATCCTCAGAAGACCTTGCAGTTATTTTTTGAGGAAACGCTGTTTAAAGATTTTGAGGTAAGAAATCTCTTGCCCTCCACAGGCTGAAAATATTGGTCGAGTTATTCTGAAATACTAATTAATCTGCGAAACAAAAATTACGGCTGAACCTGAGTTTCTTTGGGTTCGTGGGACTTTCATGAAAAATGATGAGAATTACGGGAACTTTTGATAACTGATTACTATATTTTAGCAGAATTTCGATTGAATTAAAAATTTGCTCGAAAGAAGGAATCCAGCCCATTTTTTTATTTAAAAAAACATTTTTTCGGTCCCATATTTTTCCTGGTCCCATATATTTTCTGGTACAGTATTTAATTTCAACGACATTTTACTGCATTTTTTTTAAACCGAGACAAGCTCCCAAAATTATTGAATGGTGCTTGACTCTCTCTAACGATTATGCCTCCAAAGATTTTTTTTTTGTATAAAGATTTTTTCCCATTATTTTCTTTCCCCATGTTATAGAAGTTTCCTACAACGAAGTTCTCTCTATGCAACGATTATTTTCTGTCCGTTGATTTTCGTTGTAGAGAACGTCCACGTGTATCAACTTTAATGTTTTCTCACAAACGGAAAACGCTTTTAAAATTCACAAGAAAAATCTCGCCTTCTTGAGACATGCAAGGTTCTTGAAGCTTGTTTGAAGTTTCTTGACTGGAGTGAATATCCCATTCCCGAATTCGAGCCAAAGCATCTTCTTGCGTTGCATCAATGTTGCCTTGTTTCACCATGAATTTCCGGACTTCGTCCACGGTCATCACGAATCCACTGCTGTTCCTAAATGTGAACAGCAGTGGACTTTTAATTCGTTATTCAATATATCCTGCATAATTTCAAGAAATGTCGCACATGTCGTAAATTGCGGATATTTCGTTCCGCTCGAATAAGACTCTCATGAGCAGCAAGAATTCCGCGGGATTCAAGCTCTGATTTCCCATCTCCACATTCGCAGACAAGTTCACCAGCTGAAAAGGCGTCAAAAGCTTTTTTCAAATCCCAAAATGAAATTTAAAAAAATCTATCTTCACGAAGGAAAAAAGATGCTTAATTTGAAGAAACAGAGCAGATACTTAGGCAGTTCTTAAAATAAACTAACGGAAGAAATTCGTGGTATGGAACATTTAGCCACTATACCTCTCTTCCATGAATTCAAGTTTGCCGAAAGAAAATGAGGTCTTGCATGGATTTTTTTGCTCGAATTCTCGTTTCAGAAAAAAAGCTTTCTAATTTAACGTATAAAAGCTTCCGATAAAAACTAATTTCTGAAGAAACGTTTTGCGCAGCTTTCTACATAATTCCTGGAAATCAATAAGTCATTTCTAATTCATGTACTGTATTTCCGAGAGATCTCAGAGATTATTACTGAAAACGTGCTGCGAAATAAATTTAATCTGCCAGTGTGGAACGTCACGTTGCAAAATTTTAATTGCACAGCAATGCGTATAATGACCCTTTTAGAAAATAATAAAAACTACTTTAATAAAATACATAATAATGCGGTAATGGGTTCTACAGCGATTATTTTAGCTGAAGACATCTCTGAAAAAAAATGGTTTGAGTCTGTTGAGCCACTGATCCAAAAAAAAAAGAAAGTAAACAGCAAAAATGTTTCGTTCTTCGTGAAATTTATATGCGGGTGCTTCAAAATCGAAATCAGAAGACAGTTTCAGGACTTGACTGTCCTCGCGAGTAAAACTGGTGAAAAAATTATGCAAAATATTTTTTTCACCTGTAATTTCCAGTGGTTTTCTCAAAATGTTATTAATATCTAGAGATGATAAATTGTACCTGGAATTTGCGCATAGTTTCGTCTAATGGAGGGGCCAGGTTCCGACGACGTAGAAAATGCCAAAGCTTCTTAATGTCAAGAGATCCTGCGCTGTTTCTGTCCGCTTCCCTCCACCAAACTCGAAGCCAACTTATTATTGGAAAAACGTTATTGCTTTTCAATCCGAACATCGCATACTTCACAGGAATCTGATAAATCTGTCCGTAATTCTTTTGGCGACTCAGTTTTTTTACATTTAATGCTATAAAATATGTCGGGAGAATTTTGCCGCATGCGGGAAGACCGAATCAGACCCTTCGTTGAATGTAATTTTGCTCAATTCATTAATTTGTATTCGAAGTTTCACCCAAAGTAAAAAGGCATTCTTGTGTCTTACAAGGCCTCTGAAAATTTAAATTTCAGGATCTGAATTTGAATTATTAGATTTCAGCCGGTATGCGACAAAATGTCACAAGAGTTCTTTAACCCTTTTGTGTTTGTTTGGCCTTGCTATTTTCCTCGATCTGACAGAAAAAGTATTTGCAGAAAAAAATTTCTTTGATACGACTTCAAAGTGGAAGCAATGCAAGTCTGAATCACAAAATGTCAATAACGTACAATGTAATTTAAGATCACCCCCTTTAACTCGATGACGTCGTGCTTGGACTCGAGTTTTTCCTTTCTTTGTCGGAAAATAATACTATATGTGAAACAAATTTCTAATTCACCCCTTCCATTCAGAAAAAAACTGAATTTTTCGATTCCAGTGGCATGCGACGAAATGTCTTTCTTTTTAGCCCATTGGTCTTGATCTTATCCTTGTTATGAGTAGACTTATGACTTTAAATATTTGAAACAAGTTTAAATCTTTAATAGGACTTCTGTCTAAATCACAAAATGTCAATAAAATGCAATGTAATAAAGATTTCTCCTTCAACTGGACGTTCTGCTTGGACTTGAGTTTTTCCTTTCTTTATCGGAAAAATACAAGTAATGAAAAATACTTGTACATTTGAAACAAATTTCTGATCTCACTTCCATGATGTGGGAAGAAATCTGAATTGACCGATTTCAGTATACAATAGTATGCGACTTAATGTCACATGACGTCTTCGTAGCCCTGGTCGGGCTTGATTTTTTCCTTGTTATGACAGAAAATATTTGAAACAAATTTATTGCATGACTTCATAGTAAAATCAAATCTTAATTGCAAAACCTCAATACATTATAACTAAATTTAATTCCACGATTGCCCCATTCATCGGGACGTTGTACTGCTCGGAATTGAATTTTTTCTTGCTTTATCGGGAAAATGTCAAAATATTTCGGATCTGAGTCCCATGCGGAATCAAATATATGTATATTTCTTTTATGCATTTCAGCGGTATGCGAAAACATTTTCTCATGACTTCTTTATATAGTCTCGCACTTGTGCTTGCCTGGAATTGAGCTTTTCCCCTTTAATGACAGAAGAATATTTTGAACAAATTCCTGCTGCGGGACTTGAAAAATGGAAAGCAAGTTTTTAAAATAAAATTTCAATGAAATGCAATGCAATGTAAGTAAAGATCACCCCTTCAACTCGACGTTGTGTTTGGACTTGAGTTTTTCCTCGCTCTGGCGAACAAATATGAAAACAGCGGTGATGACTGCATCAGCGACAGCTTTGCTGGGGGCCATGAGACTCAGTGATGGGGAGTCACCCATTTCCATGGGTTCCCACATGATGGCCAGGGCATTTTCCTCGACGACCCGCGGGTGTTTGACGGGGTCTCCGGCAGTCAACTCATCGTAACGCTGGCTTTGCGGGTAATATTGGTCCAGCCAGTTGTGCCAATCGTCGGAACTCACTCCTGTTCGGATGTCGTACACGCAGTCCAGTCTCACTGCGATGATGAAGAAATTATAATATGGAAAAAAATTGTGGCGTGTATATTTTTTTTAATTGAGATTTACCCGTTTTACTCCGCTCCCATCCAAAGAATTGGTCTGTGCCAAATGAAGGCCGTATGTCCGCAGAATTTCTGGGAGGCTTTCCTGCGGCTCCTTGTGACGAGTATAGATTCAATACTCCTTGGTCGGCTTGACACACGAGCAAAACCTGTGTTCAAAAATATATATTTAATCCAGATGAGATAAACATTTTTAATTACTTTTTTTTATCTCTGGCATTATTTTTATACCATATCTGATCACTGTCACTCACTACTCAAATACAGAGAACGAAATTGTTGCGAAAATTTTGTTTCAAAGGTTTTGCGAATCTCTAACTCTTTCTACTATGATGAAAAATTCCTATATTTTTTCTGCGAATTCTTTATTGTATTTGGTTTGAAGATCAAAATTTTTTCCTCATTTACTAGCAGTTTCAAGCATAAAAAAATTGGCGAACCTGTCGAGTGTATTATTGGGGAGATATTTTTATATGAAGAGAGTAATTTTGAATGATTTTTTTTAGATTTCGTGTTTATTTAAATTACTGTATGTTAGCTTATCAGATCATATCCACTTGCAGATCAGTTTTGTTATTGGAAACCTGCAGGATTCTTGAGAAACGTCTCAGTAATTTTTTTCACTGACATTTCCCAGTCACTGACATGGTCAACCATTTTCTTGAGCGTTGCTGATTTGAGAAAGTTACGATTAATGCTAAATTTTAAATCCTTCTTAGCCCGCCTCACATTTTTTTAATTTTTACTTTGATACTCAGTCAATGACATATGAAGTTAATTTTACAATATATTTACCTAATTCAACATTATATTTTCATAGCAACCGATTTTTTTTTCTGTTCAGGAAAAAACCTTACTTGCTCCCAATTTGGGAATGTGGTGGGTTGGTACAACGCTACACCTTTTTCAAGTTTCCTTGTTACCTCTGACCCTGCTAATCCCCATTCTTTGCCTGCAAATTCTGGCTTCTCTGCTCTCAGCTGAAGACAAAAAAAGGTAAAATTGAGTTAAAGAAATAAGGAACGCTTTTGAATGAGTACCAATAGTGTTGACAATATAAAAGCAATGGGGTGATTGCGTTCACTTCTGAGTTATGACTTAGGGATTATGCTAATGGATCATCTATTAAGGACTTGACTATTAACAGATTAGGATGAATTCATTCTATGACGAGTGCTGATGGGTGTTCGTCGTATTATAGGCTGTTGGGAAAAAATACACTGGGCAGTTTTGGTAAGATTCCTGTTGGTTATTCAAGATGAAGTTCTATCTTGAAACGTTTAATCTAAGTTGATCGTTTTCTTACTTAATCAATTCCCGAAACCCCCACTTATTCTCCTGTACGAAGAAATGAAAAGGTTCTTGTATGAGGGTGATTCGGTTTAACGAAAAAGGGAGGTTGGATTGTATTTTTTGAGTAAGTTTGAAAAAATATGGGACACGTTTTTCTGGAAATATAACGTGGATTTTGAGAGGTGTTGGACAGTTTTTCCTTCCAGGTGCGATGATGTGTAGTTTCGTAATTTTTTGAAAAATTGTATTTCAGCGTAACGGAAGAGAAATAAAAATATCGATATGATTTTTTTCCGTACCCAACTATACTGAGTCATGTCAGCAGTCTAAACTCTCTCGCAGTTTTACACTCATTCATGAGAAAACAATAAACTGCATTCATCTTCGAAATACAGTACAGCAAAAAGTTGTATTTCCACATTATTCAGAGACGTTTTTGTCAAATTTTTCCCGAAGAACAGTCCTCTGTATTGGTCGTCATTATAGTTAATATGAGTACCGTATATTTACTCATCGAAGTATGCGTGAATAATTAAGCTAATCTGCTCGGGATGTTTTTTTCATGAAATTGCTTGAAAAAGCCTGTCATTTGGAACGATGCTTGTCTGTTTCGTCTCCAATACTTCGAAAATGAACAAATTTTGTTGAAAAGTAGTCCTGGAGGTAATTTTTTTTTATAAGAACAGAACGGAAGTGTGATTTTTTACACTCACCGTCGATGTATTTCCAAACCAATCATTCAAACCATAATAAGAAAGCATTCGCTCATTCCGGTATAATTTGCAAAATATCAAGGGTATAACCATAATCCTATAGTTCAATTATTATTCGAAGAATGATTCGAAAAGAGGTTATAAATTGGAGTTTCATTTTAAATTAAATTCAGTGTTTATGAATTCATTGGCTTGGAATAAGACGATGAATTGTTCGAATATCCCGCCCACGTCTTGAGATGTTTTGCCTCGACCATCTCGGGTGAATGACAGCAAAATTGCAATGCATGAATTCTCGCCACCAAGAGACAGGAATGCAGTTTATTTTCAGAATAATAATGTATATGGTTCGTCGCCTCCGTTATTTATTTTCGCCACTCCGTTTTGAAACATGAGTTGTTATTCAATTTTTCTGGAGTGGTCATTGAACTCTTGGTGATGGCAAAAAAATCAAATTCTTTCGACGATTTTGTTGATGCTGGTCGATCTTTGCTAGTTGACGTGTCAATCCTGAAATGCCAGTTTATTGAACATAGAGATCGCCATAATTCATCAGATTTTCGTGTAATTTTTTATTTCAGAACTACGAAGCGTGTTGTGCAAAAATTTCAGAAAATATTTGAAAATCATCGGCGCAGGAGACGAAAAAAATATTACTCTGTGTTTGGAATTTATGGCATATGATTTTTTAAATCTCACGCAAAAGATGGCTCTTTTCTTCGTTTCAAAAGTCAAATTTTACACGCAATCACAGAGTTATGTTTTTAAAACAAATGAATCAAATTGAATAATTAATTCTGAAGTCATCGTGACGGAAAACAGCAAATATTTGTCATCACTGCTGTTCAGATAGAAAATTTGTATCTCAAATATTTCGGAAAAAACGTATTTCCCAATGTTTCTAAAAAAATAATCCACGTCAGTCAAATATGATGGATGACGCATCTAAATGTTGTGATGCCAAAGTGAGTGGGATCATTTATAGAGCTTGTTTTTGGATTCTGCGTCAAATCTTGAGCAAAATTCTCCAACGAGTAGGCTCTGTCAAACATTTCAAATCACCGGAACGAGAACAACATATGCGAAATAACTGGTCTTATTTTAAAAGAATGCAATCGCAGGATTTCCACGAACATTCTAGATTTCTGTGTCATGATGTTCCAGAATGATGAAGCTCATATACAAATCACCGGAACGAGAACAACATATGCGAAATAACTGGTCTTATTTTAAAAGAATGCAATCGCAGGATTTCCACGAACATTCTAGATTTCTGTGTCATGATGTTCCAGAATGATTAAGTTCATATTGATTCTTGCTCTGGATTTGTCAGGGATCAAAGCATGGAATGACTTGGATAAAGCCTCAATTTTTTTCTCATACATCGCTTACAACTAAGAGTTAATTGCTAAACTTGTCATGTGCCCATCGCAATTTTTAATTTTCATTCATTGAGAAATTTTGCGCACACAATTTTTTTTTCTCTCGAAGAGGCTTCTCAGCAAAAACAAAATAAATTCTGACTTCTTTTTCGGCATAATGTTGATTACGATCTCAATTTGTAATAAATTTTTTTTTCAACCTTCAAAATCAGCAGAAGTCATTCAAACTTGAAAGGTCCACTCGTTTTTAAAATGAAATATTTTCTCCCGCTGCTTAAAAATAAAAACATTGCATCATCAATAAACAAGGAAAGAAGCAAGTATTATATTGAATGCTTCGGAATTTTCTATTTCGAAATTTTCATTTGGGATTTTTTGCTCGCAATACATTTCAGAATATGGCGTATGTTGGAAAATATTTCATTCCTGCGGCAACAACAAACGGATGACTTCCGGATGACAGCTGCGCAGGAAGATGATTGAAAAACTCAGCTAATTTTCCTGGATACGGGACATACTTCCCGTCTGTCAGGGGAATTGCTGAACGGGATCAGCAAAATTCCCTTGTGGATTTTTCCAAAACAATTAAGAAGAAAAAATAACGGTCCGGGGTTCTGTAGATTGGAAAAATTGAGCGCAGTAGAAATAATTTGCGATGTTTCTCATCCCCAAGTAGATGAGGATATCCGTCAAAAGGGTCTTATACGCTTTCATTTGGAATGATGAGCGACTGGATCACTGGGTCATGTTCTCATTTTCTGAGACCTAAAAATTTGGAAGATCTTTGTTTTTCTTCAAAAACTTTTTGCCACGTTTTTGTTTCAAGCATTCAAATTAAATGGACCTCCAGTCCTGAAACAAAGTCGAGGATTCAATCATGCAAAATTGAGACGGCTATGAAATTTTGACACAATTTCAGCTGAGTTTCCTTGAAATACTGAAGATTATCGTTTCATTATACTGAAGTGACGTAAGAATATTTTGCACCACAGCTTACATTTTTAGAAGTCTTTCAGCTTCTCTCATGGGAAATAACAACTTTAAGCCAAAAAAAAGCAAGCAGAACAAAACTTGCGTTGTGTATAGGAATTATAGGTGCAATTCTATGGTAAAAAAATAGTGTTGAAACGAATCTTCAATTTCAATTCGAAACTTTAATGACGCAATGTTAAATAATCTGTGATATGTAATAAAATTTTATTATTCGAATCCTACAAGGAATTTCCAAAAATTAGTCGGACTGAAAAATTAGGTACAGCAAGGATTTCAAAATTAATGGCTAGAAACCCTTTTTTCGAATTAGAGCGGCCTATATTCAGGATCTTAATTTTACAATATTTTCAGATTTTAAAATAGCATCGAGAAACTCAGTGATATTCTTTTTGTGAAATGCTTTGTCGCCAATGTAAACGCTACATTCTCCACATTTTTTCGTCAGACCACACTTTTCATCATTTGCATTATCTGAATGTTCAAAAAAGCCCCATATTCCAACCTAGAAAAATCTTGAGCTTATCATTGGAATTCTCTCGTTTACCATATTTTTCAATCCATTCTTGATGGGTTGCCAAAAATGAAGTAACAATTCTAATGTAAACAATTAAGAAAGCAGAAAATGCCTTTTACATGCTTGATTAGGGTAAGACAAATGTAAAAATGCATTTTTTGTGTTCACATCGACTGGTTTCTCGTTTTTGCATTGTATATAACGAATAATGAATAAAAACAAATACTCACAACAGCCAAGTTTTCGGCAGGAATCATGACACTAATGCTGCGACGTCGAGTGTATCGATTGCTCATGATCAAAGTCATTTTCCACAAAAACAGATTGTCTTGCTATAGCAGAAAATCAATTCAGAATTTCGGATTTCGGAGAAAAAATGATGCATTCAATCAGATGAGAACGAAAATAAGAATATGGTGTCCAGGATTTAGGAAAAAATATACCGATGACTACCAGCTTTTGAATCAATCAAACCCTATTTCCCATGGATAAACCACGGAAATGTTTTCAGTGGGCTAACGTTTCAATGTCAAGGGATTGAATTGTCAAAGGAAAAAATATATATCACATTGTTAACCTTTATAGGGGAATCACTCTTCTACGTGTCACCACTCACTAGGTTCAAGGTTTAAAAATGATAAGGTCAGGGTCTTCTCTTCATCATGACCATTTGAAACAAATCCGGATTCTGTACTTCAGAACTAGACGCAGAATCCTTTTGAAGGTCGACTGGTCCAAGGTGAAATGATTTCCGCCATGAAAGTTTTCTTGGTTCGTGGTTTCTATCCTTTGATTTCTGATACATTTGCGGAATTGATCTGAGAAAATATGCATGAATTAGCAATGCTAGCTGAATATTCAGCCACGTGATTGTTGTGATGCTCATGTTTGTGATGGTTTCAAAGGCTTGGCGGTTTATTAGAAAAGTGCTGGAGAAGAAAGTGGATGCACAATTATTATTTTTGGGATCAACAATATGGAATGAGACATGGTATATTTTAGTTAATTTTGCCTGCATGCCAATTTTTTTAAATCCGTCATTGTCAGATTTTTTAAATTCAGTGCTGTATACTGTACTGAAGTTTCTAAAAATGGGTCAGACATATTTTGAAAATAATAATTCAAATTTTGTTATTCTTAGCGGACAATCGAATTATTTTACAGTGTATCATTGTACAGTATTTTGCTCAAAAAATTCATTCCTGGCATCTTTGTTGATTTTTATTTTTAAATTGCGGACCTTTCATTGTAATTTGGATACTGCTGAAGTAAAAATAAAAAAGTAGTGCTTCTAGATTGTTTTTCACTGTAATTTCAGCGTACAGTATTCGGTTTTTTCTGTTCAAATGCAGTATTTAGAGCATGGAATCATGAAGATAACTTTCTAAAATTGGGCTAAAAATATTTCAATTGTGATTATGATCACCTTTGATCAAAAATGCAGTCTACGCTGTATAAGCAATTCTGGTCCTTGGGTAACTAAAACGAAGGTCTGATTGCTAAACACGCAGGTAGCGTAGAAAATGCAATTAAATTTTCTTTTATTGATTTGAATGTTGTTCTTTTTCTACAGTAACACTTCCTGGCCGATTGCTACTTTCAAGTGTGAACGTGTGTTGTGTTCATCAATGGATGAAGTGGAGGCGCAGTGTGTCATGTTCATTGAATGAGACATCACTGCAACGATTCTCGAATATTTCAGTCGATATTTTTTTATATTATAGAGATGTCGCTCGCATCAGCCGTGGAAGCTCTGGTGTGTAATTACCAATCGTTGTGGTGCGACATCTAAATGAGAATGAGCACGAACAGATGCTTTGATAATCAAGAGAGAGCGCTCGGTGCAGCTTTGGTGAAGTACAGGCTCAGTGTTATGAAGGATTTTGGAAGTTTTCGGCCACTTGAGAGCTTGTATTCTCAAAGTATCTTTGTGCATATACCAGTCCAAGAGCATTTTTCTCGTCTTATCGATGACTTCCATATTTGACGAAATATTTCTCAATCAATTTCCTCGTAATGTGGAAAAAAGTCACCTGTCACTTGAAAAAAAGAATATTCTCACCGATTTTGAAAAATGGAAGACCCTGCATGTAAATTTTTCATATATCCTCTCAATTATGTTTTGAGTGAATGAAGCAGGATTGAACAATCCATTCTTGGTCAATCCAAGTCAAGAAAACGGTGATGAAGGATAACTCTGAAGTGTCCATAATTTCCATATTGAATCGCTCAAGTCATTGAAGCATACACTTCATTAATAATTACTGTGGAGTATTGCTTTCAATTGTGTTCTTCGTGATTGTTAAACCTGATTCAGATGCTGATTCAGAAGAATGTGTCAGTGCTTTTTTCAGTCCTGAAGGGTCATGTAGATTCCAGTACAACTTGAAGAATATTCAGGGAATTGTTCTCTTGTTTCATTTAGACTCAGGGCTACTTGCTATTAGTTTTGTTGCACTCTTGTTGATCAGGTTCTTCTCTCCCAGCTAACCAGAAGTCAAGCAGTCAAGAATTGCATTGCATGAAGCTATATAAAAAACTTGTCATACTATACTGTACTTCCTCAGTAAATGCTGAAAGATGTACTGAACCTGTATTGCATCTATAAAATTTTTTTTTCTGTTACAGGTGCTGTCTTTTGAGGAATTTTGATCTCAATTATCATGTTTGTATTGGCTTATTACAAATGCTGTCAGGTTGGATTGCTAAACCAAAAAAGTCCTTGCTCAATTTTTCTAATTGGTGACTCCTGGGCTTTCAGATTGAATTCATTCTGACTTAATCATGGTCAGTTTGTTGAATTTATTATTCCAATTTTAAGATTTCAAAGCTGCATTCAGCATATTTTTGGACATGGGAGAAAAAAGGCTAGAGGAAAAAATACTGACAATAGAACAATGGCCGCACGTGTTGTTTCTTGATTATTTTTAAAATTTGAAATGTCCTTCTTCCCAGATACAGTACTGTACCTGGATTTTGAAAATACCGTATATGAACTGGAAGTAAACTCTTCTCGTATCGGAATCACTCTGTATTTATCACACAAATGTATAATCAATCTCAAGTTATGCATTGGTCAGGGCTGCTCTTTGTGACACAATATTTGATCATAATGAAATAGCCGAGAAGCTTCAAAGGAAAGATTGCCAGTCGATTTATTCCCTTGATTTGTGAGGAAAATTTCAGGTGTGATTAGAAACCTCTACTGACACTGGAACCCCTTACATAATTTCGAATTTTATCCTAATTACAATACCTTAAGGAGTGTGATTTCTTCCATTGATTTTGACAGTAGCATTTATGCTCAAATAATTTACGCTTTTCTCTTTGGAATCAAACGAAAGTCAGAGACTGCGCAATGCATATATACAGCATTGCAAATTTCTGAGTATTATTCCGTCCTGGTTTTTGACGCTTTTTCTTGTTGCGAATGGACCCATTTCACCAAATTCTTCACCCCTCTTCCTCCTGAAAACCGACAAAATATCACATGCATGATGTACCGTAAACTGGTTCCAGTTTTACGATTCAATTCTCACCTGGATATCGAGTCGCTTTGCCATTGTGATAAAATCTTATTATGGGAAAGTTTGGGAGCGTAAATCTGCCCACGAGCCGTTTTTCTTCCCTCATGTTCACTGTGGCCGCCGCCACGGGCGAAGATTTCTCTCTCTGTAAAATCGCAGCTGCTTTGATGAAATCTTTGAGGAATCCTCTGGAAACTGAGCACCAAGGGGCATCTGTAAAACCATATAAAAAATAAGGGGGGTTGCATCTCATGGAGCCGGAGTCGATCATATGTGCGTCTTCCAGCAGTATTCGAGAACATGGATTTTCTAATTTTCCGGGAACCTGAAGTTCTTTGTCAGAATTACCACACAATCAAGTTATCTAAACTGAGCCCACTCGTAAAAAAGAGATGGCNGGGCGAAGATTTCTCTCTCTGTAAAATCGCAGCTGCTTTGATGAAATCTTTGAGGAATCCTCTGGAAACTGAGCACCAAGGGGCATCTGTAAAACCATATAAAAAATAAGGGGGGTTGCATCTCATGAAGCCGGAGTTCGATCATATGTGCGTTTTCGAGCAGTATTCGAAAACATGGATTTTCTCATTTTCCGGGAACCTAAAGTTCTTTGTTAATCAGAATTACCACCCAATCAAGTTTTCTGAACTGAGCCCACTCGTAAAAAAGAGATGGCGCTGCATGTGATTCGAATGCATTCTTTTATGCATCAAGGGTGCATGCTGGTCCATCAGCAGTTTTGAGTTTACTGAGCACTGTAAGTGTACAGTGTCTATACAAGGGTTGTCCCACTTGGGCACGACCTGGGTTATTCATAGATTATGTATTACTGTAAAAAAAAATCATTATATAGCCCATATTATGCTTCAAGGTTCTTATTTTTACAAGCATTTTGCATTTTACTGCAAGCTGATCAGTGAAAACTTTACATTCATGGTCACAGTTCTCCACCCATGTCTGTTGGGGACAACAGTCACCACAACACAAGAAAAGAGGAAGAAGCTGTGGATCAAGAAAATTAGAAATAGAAACACAGAATCAGCCTGGGGCAAGGCTGGGGATTCCTGGTAGAATCCAAACTTTCCCAACTATTTAACTTTAAACTATGTCAGAGGGTGCAAAATAGTGTTCAGGCCACCTGCACAAAGAAATTTTTTAATCACTGTATCTTTCCTGAATTTTAGATGAAGGTGAAAACAATGAAGAAAAAATAGGGTTCAATTTTCAACTGATCTGACGAATTTTCAGCACCCAGTGACATTGATAAAGAACTTTGGCCATAACTGGAAAGTTTTCACTTATCAGCATGCAGCAAAATGAAAAATGTAAAAAAAATAACATTTCATCAATATCTCATACAAAAGGTTGGACAGTTTATGTAGTATGGCATGTATGTCAATATGCCATTGTATCAGATACAGGTGGTACCTTGCAATTTGACCTCCCACAATTTAATGGTCAAATATGCTGGGAGGTTGGCTCTCAATTTGACCTCTGTCATGCAATTTGACCTGTGGAGAGGCATGAAACATCAAATGCCATTTAGAAAACGTGCAGTTTGATGTTGTCTTTCAATTTGACCACTGTGCAATTTGATCCTAGTCCAGCAATGGATTAGGGTCAAATTGCAAGGAAATGTCAAATGGCACGTTTTCTATTTCTTTGTTTTTTAGGGGGGGGGGGGGGGAGGGCGAAGATTTCTCTCTCTGTAAAATCGCAGCTGCTTTGATGAAATCTTTGAGGAATCCTCTGGAAACTGAGCACCAAGGGGCATCTGTAAAACCATATAAAAAATAAGGGGGGTTGCATCTCATGGAGCCGGAGTCGATCATATGTGCGTCTTCCAGCAGTATTCGAGAACATGGATTTTCTAATTTTCCGGGAACCTGAAGTTCTTTGTCAGAATTACCACACAATCAAGTTATCTAAACTGAGCCCACTCGTAAAAAAGAGATGGCGCTGCATGTGATTCGAATGCATTCTTTTATGCATCAAAGGTCCATCAGCAGTTTTGAGTTTACTGAGTACTGTAAGTGTACAGTGTCTATACAAGGGTTGTCCCACTTGGGCACGACCTGGGTTATTCATAGATTATGTATTACTGTAAAAAAATCATTATATAGCCCATATTATGCTTCAAGGTTCTTATTTTCACAAGCATTTTGCATTTTACTGCAAGCTGATCAGTAAAACCTTTCCATTTATGGCCACGGTTCTCCACCCATGTCTGTTGGGGACAACAGTCACCACAACACAAGAAAAGAGAAAGAAGCTGTGGATCATGAAAATTAGAAATAGAAACACAGAATCAGCCTGGGGCAAGGCTGGGGATTCCTGGTAGAATCCAAACTTTCCCAACTATTTAACTTTAAATTGTGTCAGAGGGTGCAAAATAGTGTTCAGGCCACCTGCAAAAAGAAATTTTTTAACCACTGTATCTTTCCTGCCTTTTAGGTGAAGGTGAAAACAATGAAGAAAAAATAGGGTTCAATTTTCAACTGATCTGACGAATTTTCAGCACCCAGTGACATTGATAAAGAACTTTGGCCATAACTGGAAATTTTTCACTTATCAGCATGCAGTAAAATGAGAACTGTTTAAAAAATAACATTTCATCAAGATTTCATGCAAAAGGTTGGACAGTTTATGTAGTATGGCATGTATGTCAATATGCCATTGTATCAGATACAGGTGGTACCTTGCAATTTGACCTCCCGCAATTTAATGGTGAAATATGCTGGGAGGTTGGCTCTCAATTTGACCGGTGGAGACACATGAAACATCAAATGCCATGTCAAAAACGTGCCATTTGACGTTGTCTTGAAATTTGACCACTGTGCAATTTGATCCTAGTTCAGCAATGGATTAGGGTCAAATTTCAAGGTACCACCTGATGTACAGGAGTGTTCAGAAAATAAATTCCCTCCCCCTTAAAACACATATACAATAGGACTTTCTCTCTCTACCAAAAAAAACTTATAAAACCAGATAAATTCTTTATAGAGAGAATTTCATCATATAGAGAACCCTAGTAACAAGGAAAGAGACCCCTATATGGGACCTACAAAATTTTCAATGTATACAGCGTAAATCGTTTTAGACGAGGTCATTGTTGAGATACTGTAGTTTACTTATTTTACTGCACTGCAGTATACTCACAGAACAGCACTAGCAAGTCACTGTGCTCCTGGACAGCTTCTGTAAAGTTATCTTCGTCGAGGAGAAGAATCGTTCCCTGACCACGAACACTCTTTTTTTCTTCAATTTCTGCACCTCGAACGCCGTTTTGCACAATGGCCATCATTGCAAAAAGCCACGCTATGCGACGACATCTCGCCGGTTTTTGCATCCTTATTTATGTGCCACCCGCGTGCGAATGCATCACATATGAATGGAAAAAAAAATTCGAATGCAAAATGAAAGGGTGTCTTTTATTTTGTTGGATGATATTACTTTTCAATCGTCAATTTTGCTTATACAGTAATTCCTGCTGGAAACACGTTTACACTTTGCTGGATAACTTGCCAAGAGAGACAAATCCCCCGAAAAACTGTGATCCTGAAAAGTGGAGCCCCGACATGCGGACACCCTCAACGTGAGGACCATAGTATTCGACTTCGGAGCTCTTCAAACTCAAAAAATCTGCGCAAACATTCGTAAACTACAATGTCTCGAGATATGAACACTTGGTTAACATTTCTGGAAAAAATGGACGAATTATTCATTACAAAATTTTGATACCTGGAACAAATTGTTCTCTTACATTCACAGATACTGTATAATGTATTCAAAATAAATTTTATTTTAAATTCCCAATAATTCACCATCCAAAAACAGACAAATTTTGTGCTTCTTTTTTTTTAGAGTTACAGTATTTCCATCACATGAGCACAGTGTGGGAAGACTTTTGCTCATATCTTGGTTTTTGGGCTATGCCAAAATAAATAAACTAGATTTGCGTGATTTTCTTCTGAAATACTATTTCCTGTATTTTGAGGTCGAGAACAATTATTCTATTCAATTTGTGGTGGGCTTTTTGATCAACAGGTGGACCAGTTGAATATACTGTATTCCCATCAGTGAATAAAGTCTAAGGAAAAAAGTAATCCACGTCCAATTACGTCCGCATGCCGGGGCCCCAAACTTGAAAATGCAGATCCCCTGGTAATCCCGAAGGCGATCGCATTTTGGGCTTTTGGAAGAGATTGCAAATATAGAACAAGGAACGAACTAGGGTCTACATTCATCTTTCTATCTACATTTCTAGGGTGTATAATTTGCAGTAATTAATTAGTGGTCGGGACTCTTGAGGATGGGAAAGAAGTAAAAAGGCGTCAATTGCGGAATTTGGCATTTTTGACTCGAAGGGTCCAGCATATACGTTTCTAAGTTTGAAGAATTTCTTTGCCCTTCTTTTCTTCAATTTCTTTCGCCTTCGTTGGTATTGCAGATAAAATTGTTCAAACGCGACGCAAATCGACACCAATTTCAAGCAGCACGAATTCTTTGCCTTTTTAATTCCATTGGTTTTCCTAAATAAATACTGTAACGTGATGCATGAGATGTTCTTATTATCGCGCTGCCAGCAAATTGGTCTCAATGCTTGAATCAATCTGAATTCTACTTTTAATAATATGAGGAAAAGTCACGAATTGTTTTAAAGTTTTAATTGGCTCGCTTTTCCCAAATACTGTATCATGATTTACGAGCAACGTGTTTCTATTATCGCGGACAGCATAATGTTATTGTTTCAATATTTGAAGAAAACTGAATTCTGTATTTTTAATGAGTAAGCATATTATATTTAAATACTGTAGAGTAATGGGACGAGATCGCAGCCAATCAATTCACAGTTAGACGAGATCGCACTGAAGACTGTTGTGAAGGGACTTGCAATCCGCAACGAGGACCAGTAAAAACCAAGGGAAGTTGGAAAAGGGGAAAAATCCTGGGAGCCGAATATTTTCTTGCCCTGGATTTTTATTTTATTTTATCTGATTACCTGTATATTTTTTTCCCCTTGGCGTTTGCCGCGACTATATAGTGGACATTTATTTTCTTTGGATATACCGGCGATACTGGGGGCAAACCAGTTTTCATTTCTAACCCTTGCCATTTTCTGGAGACGGGACTTTGCCTGTTCGGCCGCACAAAGAGGCCTTTTGATTAGAAATTGTTTTCTAGCATGAATATGCATGATCATGCTAGAAACAATGCCGCAGAAAATCCAAGTCCCCGTATACAGAGCAAATTCAAAGTTCTGAAAGCTCAAATTCAGGTTCCCTCAAGCAAGATCTGATATCGAAAGAATTCTTTGCTTGAGGGTACTTGAATTTTACTCGCCATAAAATCTCGGAATCACATCTTCCGTACTTCTTTTTCCACATATGCATTGCTTCCTCTCGTAGACTTTAATTTACAGGCAAAATACTTAGTGTGGAAAGTGAATGGTGCTACAATGCGCTACAGATAAACAGGAAAAACTTGGAAATAGCAAATACTGTATAGGCTTGCCTGAAATTTCGCTATACATTTGCTCGTGAAAATTCTAGACCTCAAATTTGCTTTGGGTTAGTCATGATTTGGCCAAATCGAAAAAAATGAACTAAATGCCAATAAACTCAACATCGGAATAAATTTTTCATCATGTGCCCCAGCGAATTCCTGACAAACGAACCTCACCTAAGTGAAGAACGCCGAAGATGGCGAGAAAGCGTTTTTAACATAACCTAGATGTCGCCTGAACATATGGGACCCCCAAAGAATCGTTTTCGCAGGACTGTCATACATAACTTATGGTACTCTAGTTTCTCTATTCATGCAGTTCGAAGAAAATCAGGAGTCGCTGAATCCCAAATTTCAAAACGTTATGACTTGAAGAAATGCTTCATTCCACAAACTTCCAGTCATTCAGAATCCAGTCATCCAGAATCACATATTCATGCAGACATCAGCATCCATGAGTTGCCAAGCCGGTGACCCATGCCAGACTGACCAACCCAGCACTGTTCCCTCACCGGCAGCAGCATGCAGCACCCAGAAAGGCCCTAAAGACGAACCCAATTTTTCGAGACAGGAGTTACCAGACCAAGAACCACAAACCGAAGAAGAGGTTCTCCCTCCTTCCCTTGCCGTACGCAGTTGCGCACCCCGGTTTGCGCCGGACGCAACCAGCGTAGCTCAAAGAGGGACATGTGTGAGATGTAGGCGGAAGGGAGGGAGGGTTTGGTGAGGCAAAGCAGCAACTCCATCCACACATCTCTGGAGTTGGCAACCTGCAAAAGGAAAGACGTTCAGGCGGGCGGCACTCGGCGTGCTTCGTTGGGATTCCTCAGCTGACCACTGAGTTCAGTCACATTCGAGCAGTTGGCCGAGTATGAAGGCCAGCGGAGGCTATCAAAAATTTTCTGTTTACGATTTTCTGTGTTCGAAGTTGGTGTTCTTCAACTGGGTGGTCAGCAGGAAACTTCTTGAGTCTGTGGTGGAAAATATTTGGTGTACATGTATGTACCGTACAAGAATGAACACAAGTTATTTTTTTTCATTTGATGTTGCTTCAGAAGATTAAATGCTGGAGAAATGTGCTTCCATGGAACCACTCTTCGAAGCTTCACTCCCAAATCTTCATTTTAATCTACTTGAACAAATTGCAGTGAAATTTTAATTCATTTCTTAAAAACTGTTTTTTGGGAATTTCATATAGTGTCCTTCTAGACTTCTTTTCCCTTCAACTTTAATTTTTTTTCAGCAGTAGCAAAGAGGTTTGCTTTGTTGCATCATAAAGAGCAAAAGAATACTCCTACTTTTTTATCCTCCTCCCAAACTAATCGCATAGATCTAGGCTAGATAATCTAGCACACTAAAATCTGCATATATTCAGGCAATTCATTTTTCAAATGTGCCAAGAAGTAAAATTGCAACATTTGCAGTTAATCCCATTCTTATTCAGTTGATCTTCATGCCTGAAAGATATAGGCATTGCATTTACACCCCACTTTAATCATATGGCTAGAATTTTCATTGTTGTTTCATGCCTTGAATGAATATTTCTGGTATCAATTTCGTGTGTGGTGTTTTCAATAGTCAGGCAGAAAAATATACCTAGCAATGCAGCACAGAAAATATTGCTAGGTGGGTGAGTTTTCTTTGATTTTGAATTTTTTGATGTAAGTTTCCCAGTTATGCCGTAGAGTATAGAAAACCAAACGCAGGGATGATCAAGTTTCAAAGAACTTTTTCACATGCATGATTCAAAATCTAACCTGTTCAAAAGCAAGTCTTATACCCGCCAAAAGAACTCCCTGGAACGTTATGAAATGAATGCTTTTATCATCTGAAATGATTATTATTTTTACGTCCAGCTCTTTTTTTAAATTGAAATTATGCTTTACAGAAATTTGGTTTTGATTAGCTTTTTTCAGTGAAATGAGCAGTGTTATCTTCTGATTTCCTCAACGTAATTCAGTTTTCCTTCCTTTTTAAGATGTGACCTGGCTGATTTAAATTTAGCAGGCTGCCAATCAGAATAACTCGAAAAGACCACTCAATGATCAAAACTGAACATTTATTCATGAATGTTGAGCAGTATATTCATGAGCAGTAAAAAAAAGCATCTCCACACTTATTTTCCCTTACCCGTATTCGAAGATACAGTACATTTTTTACAGTACCATATTTTAGTAAGCGTAGCACCATTTTAATGAATGAATTACAAGAGCATCACCAAGGAAATCGCGTCCTTCCAGATGACCTTACAAATTTCCATGTACATACCTGTAAATATAAAGAAGAATGCGTAGCGAGAGAAAGCCATGCCAACTCTTGGCAGAGTTTAGAGATATGGAAATTTTGCACCAAAAGAAAAAAAAAACTTGCATCGCGTTAAGAAGGGAAATCACAGAATGCATGACAGAAACACTTCCTGAATTCAAATTCAAACTTACGAAAGCATCCGAAATCCAATCACGTAAAAGAAGTCTTCCTATGTATGAGTCCTGCACAATTTCGTAACAGACGGCACTTCTCCCAGGGAACCTTGATAACCTGAACCTTCCTACATCAAATGCCTCTCAAGCCTTCATAATTCTAATTGTCCGCTGGAGGTCTTCTATTATTTTATTGAAAAAGGAAAGCAAAAGCACTGAAAATGAGCTTGATGTGTTTTTGAAAGAAAGTAAAAGACCAATTGGGCAAATAAACCCTTTTCTTCAAGTTCAGGATCCTGTCGAATCATTCAAGAAGCTATTTGAGGTCTAGAATATTGCCGATCACAGTTTCCTTTAATTATTATTTCTTTCCCCA